ATCTAATTGCAGAGCACAGAGCGGCCCCTGAAACTGGGGGGGGGGGGGAAATCAAGTATCGGAGCCCGAGCCCGCCTGCGTTCGGAATATGCTCCCTTCGTTTGACAGAGAGGGACAAGAAATTCCCGCTCCTCTCCCCCTCCGCCGCCCGCCTGCCCCGTTCCCGCCGGTGAAAAAGTGCCATGTGTCCCCCCCCCAGAGCCGGTGCCCCCCCCCCCCCCCCCCGCCCACCGCCCGGCTCCTGCCTCGGAACCGGGCAGTAACGCTCCCCTTCGCGAGGAACGGCCGAACGCACACCGCGGAATCACCACCGAGAACGACCGCGCCGGGGCGGCGGCAGAGCGCGGCCCCTCGGAAGCGCCGGGTGGCGAGTGCCCCCGCTCCGCCCCGGCGCCGCTCTGCCCGCGCACCGCTCCGCGGCTCGGTTCGGCTCCCGGCGCGGCATCCCCCCTGCCCTGCCCGGCGCCCGGCTCCCGCCCCTCGCCCCGGCGCCGCCGGCGGGAAGTTTTGCAGGAGCCGGGGCCGGAGGAGCCGGGGCCAGTTGCTTTCCCCCCCCTTCCGCGGCCCGCGCAGGGCACCCATCCACGTCGCGCCCCGTGTGCTACCTCTCGTAGCCCCTGTGTCGCCCCCCTTACCTGCCGCCTCAGTCCCTGAGGCTCTGGGCACAAGTCTTTGCTTTACAACACACCAAAGGACCGGACGCGGCTTTTCGCTAAGAAAGTTACAGGAGCGAAAGTGTGCGAGCAAGACAGGGGGAGAGGATCGGGGAGGGAGAAAGAAAGCGGAGAGAAAAGAAAAGAGAGGGAAAAAAAAAAAAAAAAAAAAAAGAAAGGAAGAAGAAGCCGATCGCAATAATAATATCCTGAGAGTGCAAATGTGGATCGAGATCCCCCAGAGATGCACATGCCTCTGAGCGAGAGCAGCAGCCTTTTTGCAGCTCTGCTCTTGCAGAATATGACTGAAATTTTCTGCTATATAGCCTCTGTCTTTATAGCTGATGAAAAAAATTGCAGATTATTAGCATAAATGTTTACTCTTCATTACGCTGATGACATTGTGCACTCGAGATCTTGGTAATCTTTGGGAAAATTATGAGTAATTTTTAAAAATTTTAAAGCAGCAGCAGTTACCATGCAATTCAGGCTAATTCTGCGTAGGCTCCGAACGGATATAATTATCGAGGAGTCAAGATGTTATGCTAAAAACTATGCATTGATATTCCCATTTATTATGTACATACAACTTTGACAATGTTGATGCTTGAAATAGCAGGAAATTGTCTTGCGCAAAAATTACAGTCCATATTAGGACATGTGAAATTGCGAAGAATTATATAGTAATTGCAGGCTTTCAGATGGGAGAGCCAGAATGCTCAAACTAGTGCAAATGTGGATAAAATTACAGATCAGAGCAAAAATTAGGGAAAAAAGGGGTCTGGGATTTTTCAAGTTGGCTATAGGATTCCGGAAGTGTCTAATGCCACATGATTGCTGCAGCTTTAGGGGAGACATTCATGCCTCAAATAACTCCTTTTGCCAGAGCCGCTTTAATTTAATTTCTCGTGCTTTTTCTTTTCACCGGGCAAATGAGTAAATTGCCTACCCACGGCACAAGCCCGGCCGGCCCCGCCCGTGAGACGGAAGGCACAGGGTGCCCCTCGCCCGGTGGCTGCCTGCTCGGCCCCCCCTGCCCACGCTGCCCGCGGAGCCCCACGATTACCCCGGTCGCCCCCCGGGACCGGCCCCCTCAGCCGCCCGTCTCTGGGGCCGGGCCCGCCGCAGAGGGAGAAGAAGGCGGTGGCGCTGGGACGTGGAGAGGAATCGACCCAGTCCCACCCGCCCCCAACCCATCGTGGAGTGCTGGGGATGCGCTGGGAGAGCCCTTCGGCTGCTCGTCCCGGCCCCGGGCAGCCGAGCCCCGCGTAGCTGCCGCCTTGAGCAGGGGCACTTGGTTCAAGAGCGGTGCCCGCCCCGTCCTATCGGACAGGAAAAGAGAGCATGGGAAAGCAGACTGCAAACACGCACAGATCTATGCGTGTGCACCTGGAGGTGCGGCGCGCTGGTGTGCATCCCATCCGCATGCTGTGACCAGCATCCCGAGACGCTGCGAGCGGCGGGAGAAATGAGGAGCCTGGAAGGGCTGCGGAAGCTGCGAGGATGCTGCGGGGTGAAGCTCAAAAAGCCTCACTCACATAAACACCAGGTGCGAGCAGCCCAGGGAGAGCCGCTGATAGCGGGCAAAGAATAAATGCGAATAAATAAGTAATAAAGTAATAACCAAACAGGAGAAGGAAGGCGCGGGGGGCAACAGGGGCGGGCCGCCGTCTTCCCAGTCCCGGGGCGGGGTGCTCCGCTCCCGGACCGCTGATATACGTCCTCCTCCCCGGGAACCCCCGCCGCTGTCGGCATGCTGCCCGACCCCATGGGGCTGCGCCACGCTCCGCAGCGCACCGCTGAACCGGGACGGAGTCCATGGGCGAGGAGGGACGGCGGGGAGGTGACTGGGGGACGAGGGGCAGGTGTTTGGTGTGTGTGTTTATTTAGCAGCGAGAAGCGCCTGTAGAAACGATGGGGCGGGGTGGCGGGGAGGTTTGGCTGTCCCCGTCCGGGCCGTGCCCCGGGCCCACGGTTTTCTCCTGCATCCCGGACGAGCGGTTTAGTAAAACTTGTCATTTGGCAGAGGGGGGTCCCAGACACCCTACACACACACACATCCCTCCCGGGGCCGCGACGCGCTGCTGCGACCACAGCCCCTGCCAGTTCGCGGGGCTGTGGGCTCCTCGCCACGCGTGCCCCTCTCTCTGGAGGCGGTCCCGATTCCTTTCCCCACCCAGCCCACTCCGTGCCCACCGCCCCAGCCGTGCCCGCGGCTTCCCCCGCTTCGCCGCCCGCCGCTCCTTCCCCCCGGTCGGACCGAGCGGCCGAGGCCGCTGCCGCGGTGTGTCTCCGCGGTCGCCGGGGCGGGAGTGGCGGAGGGAAGAGGTGAGGGACGGGCCGGCGCCGCTGTTTGCCCGGGCGCCTCTGGGGTGTTTTCCCCGTCCGCGCCGCCGGGGCAGTGCCGGAGCTGGCGGGCAGCTGTCTCTTCCCCCTTTGTCTCTCCCGCTCCCTCCTCTCGCCTCATTTGCGGCCGCCTCTTTCGTCCTCCACCCCCCTCTTCCTCTCTTTCCCTCACTCCTCCTTCGCTCCTCTGCTCCCCCCTCCCCTCGCCCCCCAGCTTTTCGCAAGCCGTCAGGAGCAACCCATCCTCCCGGACCCCAGCTCCAGCGTATCCCCTGTGCCCTCCCCGCACTTTCCCCTGCCCTGCCCGGGCTCCTCATGCCGAAGCCTGGCGGCAGAATCCTGGTCGGGCTGCACCTTCCCTGCCCCGGGCGAGCTGGCCTGGGCCACTTCCTCATCTTGTCTGCAGCGCGATCCTCCTCAGCGGTCCCTCTCCCCCCACACCCTCCCAGGCTGGCGGGACCCTCGGTGCGACAAGGGGCAGAGATTCCCCTCCCAGCTCTCTTCTTTCAGACACCGGGACCTCTAGGGGTGCAGACCAGAGGTTTACACCCGTCAGGGTTACAGGTTGGGGATGGGGGGGCATTTCCTGAGGAAAGCAGTCTAGAAAGGGGCTCAGCCTGGAGGGGTGCAGGGAGGGGCATGGGGTCCCCCAGAGGGCTACGTTCCGGGGAGGTCAGCCCTCTCCATCCCGGAGAGCTGCAACTTGGAGGGGGTGCAGCCTGGAGGGATCCAGCCCTCTGGGGTTACATCCAGAGGGGTTCAGCTATGAAGGGTGAAGCCTGGAGGGCTACATCCCAGAGGAGTACGTACTGGAGGGTCCAGCTCTTCAGGAGCACATCCAGAAGAGGCCCAACCGGTGCCTCCAGCACTCGAAGGGCCGCAAGAGGGGCTCGGCGGCACCCACCAGCTCCGGCCCAACCAAAGCTCCCACGTGGGCTCCCGGCCTGGGTGCTACCGACGGCGAGGGGGAGGCTAAATTTCCCCGGGGCAGGGCTGCGGCAGGGAACCGACTGCAGGAGAACTCCGGTCCCCGGACACGACCCTGCCCCAAAGCCCTCCGGCCCGGCTGTGATGAGGCAGGAGTCAGTCCTGGGCGAAATGTGGCTGGCGCCAGCAGGCGGGGGGGCGGCTCTGGGCTGCTGCCGGGAGCGCTGAGTGATTCATGGCCTCGCCGAGAAGACTGTCAGGGGCGAGATTTTACTGTAGACGGGAAAAAGAGGGAAGAAGGGGGGAGGAAGCCGGCTTGCGGCAACAGTTGCGTTGGGGAGGGGGTAGAGGGTTCGTAGCTTTTCACACCCCCCGTGAGCCCCGGGGTACAGATCGACACCCCAATCAATCTCTCCCATTCCCAAAGAAACTCAGCGCGGGCACCATGGAAACAATAATTTATTTAAATAATCTCTTCTTATTGTAAAAGAAACATAAAAGAGTGTTTAAGTTCTCCATAATAAATAACAAAAAATACCCCCCCTTATTTTTTTTTCCTTTTTCCCTTTTTTTTTCCACGACTCTATACATCAAACGGCGCAGGGGCAGGACCAGTGACTGGGTTGCCGGTGATGGGGGGCTGAGCCAGAGGGGTGGGCTCGGAGCCCTCCCCGGGGAGGCCCCATCGAGTCACGAAACCCGCCCGGAGGCACCGCGCGGGCGGAAATCCCCCCTCAACAGCCGCCTGCGACCGGGCCCCCTCACCGGACTGTTTCGATCACGGCTAAAAAGGTTAACTTATCCACGGGAGGCTCTTGTCTTAAATCTACATATAAAATTATTTTTTTTTTAACATTTTATTCTTTAATCCCCAGCATTAACGTGAGGTTTTCCGCAAAGGCACCTAGCGACTTTAAAAAAATAAAAAAGTTAACCAAAGTTCTGCACCAGTGGGGTGGATGGAGAAGCCGGGGAGGAGGAAGGAGGACGGCAGGAGGGGAGCTGGGTACTTGTTCCGCAGCATGGTTACTTTGGCGGCGGGAGGGCTGACCCCGCGGGGCCGAGCGCACACGGGGTCCGCCGCCGGCGGCGCAACGGATGGGGCGCGGACACCCGGTTCCTCTCCTCCTGGACGGCCGGAGCCAGGCTTCACCAAAACACCAGTGCTGCGCCTCAGTAGCCCCTCGGGCTAAAGTCTCTGCGGCGCCTAGAAAATGCCGCTGCCGCCGTGGTGGTGCGGAGGCTGCGTCGGCTGCGGGAGGGGGGCGGCTGCCGGCAGGTGCCCGGGGCCGCCGGGCGCCGGGGGGTACCAAGAGTAGCTCCCGAGGAAAGCTGCGGCGGGGCTGGGGCTGGCGGAGCCGGTGCCGCCCGCCGTGCGCGGGTGCGGAGAGAAGTCCCAGGTGGGAGGCGAGGTGGGGGGTGGCGGCGAGGAGCTGCGGCGGGGGGGAGGCTCCGCCGGGATCTCGCCGCTCTTCCACATCTTCTTGAACTTGGAGCGGCGGTTCTGAAACCAGATCTTCACCTGCAGGAAAGAGGGGAGTCAGGCGGCCGCAGCCTTGCCAGGGCGCCCCGGCACAGGGGCCGCCCGCGGCGGGGCAGGGAGGAGCAGCTTTGGCAGCCCCGGGCAGTCCCGGCGCTGCCTCGTCGGCGCAGACTCTTCCCCCGCACTGGCATCCCGGGCCTGTCGAGGCGCCGCGGGTCGCATCCACACCTCCCCCCCCCCAACCGTCCCCATCCGATCCCGCGGAGGACGAGTGGCGGGGCACCCCGCGGCGGGAGAGCACTACCTGGGTCTGGGTGAGGCCGAGGGAGGCCGCCAGCTCCGCTCTCTCGGGCAGGGCGAGGTACTGGGTTTTCTGGAAACGCCGCTGCAGAGCCGCCAGCTGGAAGCTGGAGTAGATGGTTCGGGGCTTCCTCACTTTCTTCGGCTTCCCGTTCACGATCCTGATTTCTGGCTCGCAGTCTTCCTTCTCTGCTACGGCAGAAACGTCGGCCCCGATAAGGAGAGGCGCTCTCCCGCCACCCCGAGCCCTGCTCGCAACGCGGCATCACCGCCCCCCCCCCGTCGAGGCGGCCCGACGGGGACCAGCGCCCTCCCGGTCCACCCAGTGTCCCGAGCCCCGACAGCCTCATCGCCGGGCCTAGAGTGGCCGCCCGGCTCCCGCCAGCTCCCCAGAGCTGCACCCCGGGTCTTGGACGTACCGGAGTCGTTGTTGGCCGGAGAAGTCCTGGTGCCGTAGGGCCCGTAAGAGGCGTAGGCACCCGCGTAGCCCAGGTCGTAGCCGGCCTTGGTGGAGTAAGGGGCGGTGCCGCCGCCCGCGTAGGGGTAGGGGCCCACCGGGCCGTAGGGCGGCCCGCCCGCAGCCCCGTGCTGCTGGTTGTTGTAGTAGCTGCTGTCGGTGGCCGTGGAGACGGGCAGCGTTGGGGACTCCTGCGGCTTGTGCAAGCCACCGTGCTGGTAGCTGCTGGCGGAGATCTGGCTGGCGTGCATGTCCGGCACCAGGCTCTCCAGCACCCCGGTCATCCCTCTCCTCCTCTCGCCGGGGCACGGGCCGCCGCCGTCCCGCGGCCGTCCCCACCGGGGAGAGGCGGTCAGGGCCGCGCCACCATGCTCTCCGCGTTGCGTTGCGTGTTGTGTTGTGCTGTGCTGTGCTGCGTTTCGCACCCGCGGGGCCAGGCCGGGGCGGGCAGCCGCGCTCCCGCCGCCGCCAGCGGGACGGGATCTGCGGCGCCGCGCGTCGCCGGGACGGCATTTAACACCGGTCACGTGGCGCGGCGCACGTCACCTAGCAACAGCCAATGAGGTACCCGGCCGCGCCGTATCCCCGCGGGTTCGCAGGGCGCGGGATGGGAGCGGCGCCGGGCGCATGAACAGCAGCGGAGTCGCTCCCTGAGCAGGGCAGGTCGGTGCCACGGACCGGCTCAAGCCTTGGCCCTGTCTTACGGCTCATACCACCTTCCGTCGCCACCGCTGGCCGCATCGTGGTCCGATGGGGCGGTCCGACCCTCACCCCCGAGCGCTCGGGACAGCTCTCTGCCCGGTGTGTGCCTCCGCTCGTAGGCCAGCAGCTTACGTCCCGCCGTCAGCGGCATTTCCGCGCTGGCGCTGCGGGCGCCAGTAGAGCGGCAAGAGACAAGCGGAGATGGGGGAACCCTGTCTAGGGGTTCCTCACGGCTGTGCTGGGCCTGGGGGATCGGCCACATAGCGAGAGAGCAGCACCTCTCTACATGATAGGGTGGCAGGGCTTTCCTGCAAAACCTCCGCGCTGTTACATGCGGAGAGGCGACGCTCCGTGGGGTACACACGCGTGCGTATTTCACACAGCAGCTGCTAGCAGTGGCACCCACGGGGCGTCCATCCACGCGGCAGCCGCTAACGGCGCGTTGTTGTAGGAACGGCTGTACCAGGCACCCCCCTTCAGCCGCCCGTCCTCTTCCCCGTCCCGGCTGGCGGGCGGCTGCACCAAGAGCGGCGCCGGCAGAAGGGGCGGGTGTCGGCTGGGCGCGGCGGCGCTGCCCTCTGCCGGGGGCAGCCCCTCGGGGCACCCTGGGCAGCCGGGTGGTGTTCCAGGGCCGCGGGAACGGCTCCCGGGCTGATTCGGGGTCTCACACTCTGTTTCTCGCTCCCGCCCGTTCCCCCGCACTCGGGGGGGGGGGGGGGGGGATGATGCCGAAAGACGCGCTTAGCCCGCGCATGCCCCCGCCTCGCGAGCTCCCGGCGCGTGCACCGTCAGGAGCCCTCCTCACGCTCGCCGCCGCTCTCCACGGCTGTGTCTGTGGGGGCCGTTCCCTCCCGCCGCAGGTGCCGGTACCGGGTGTCCCGCCCCTGCCGCGGGGCGGCCTCGCCCCGGCCGCGGCCCCGCCGCGGTCGCTTTGAAGCGGGGCGCGGCTGGAGCCTGTCGGTCTGTGCCCGGCGGGGCGGTGGCGCTGCGGAGGGCGCCAGGCGAAGGTGAGCGGGGCCGGGCCGGGCAGGGCCGTGCCCCAGAGACGCCGGCGGTGGTAGGTGGTCCGGGAGCGGGGCGGCGGGAAGCGGCGCGGTCGGCGTTAAGCCCGGGAACGGCCTCCGCAAGAAGCGACGTGCTGAGAAGCCGAGGGACACCGGCAGTACCTGGCGCCGGTACCTGGAGCCCGGCCCTGCCGGGACAAGTGGAGCCCTCGGGGTCCTGGGGCCGGGCCGGGCAAGCGCACCCGGGATACGGAGAGGGCAGGGTGCCTGTACCTGTGAGCTCGTGTGGTGCTGCCTCTCTCAAGACATAGGTGGTGTTCAATGCAAAAGAAAGCTGGTTTATAAAATCCGCAGTCCGAGTTTACTGCTGCCCCAAGTTAGGTCTTTGTACTACCGTTTCTGCCCTGACTGGCACGGGGGAGAAGGAAGGGGCAGACAGCATGTAATGGTGGGCAGCAGAGATGAGGGCAGTCGGCTGCTCTTCATTAGTCACATTTTGAAGCATGCAAAATACAGAGGAGAAAGGACATGTTATGTTATCTCGTTCTGAGGACTTAATACAAATGACTTTCTTTGAAATTTGTTTCGCTATATGGCAAAGGTGTTTGTGGTTTTTGTTTGTTTGTTTGGTAATTTTTGTTTGGTGTTTCTTTTTTCTTAATTAGAATAATTATTTTGGTGCTATACAGCCCCGCGCATGTGCATGGTGATTTACACAAAAAGCAAAGGGCATAATTTTGTTTACTTCAGCTTATATCAATAATCTTTTGCATGCAAGTTGTTTCTCATAAGTTAGCACAGGGCTCACGAATTTAAGTGAACTGTCACATGGTAGCTGCTTGGACGGCTTTGTTCTTGCAGTTATTTTGCCTGTGTGGAGTTGCAGGCTCTGCTGGAATGATCACTGAGGAGTTACTTATGCACGCATTCACATGGTTGATCTTGTAGATCTGATTTTATTATTATTTGTTTGGAATTTGCTTGTGAGGAAGGTGGCTGGTTGAAAGACCAACGTGTGTAAGTAAGGGCAGGACTCTCCAGGCTGTGAATATGAACAGGTTATGGGGCAGAGAAGGAAGGCATCAGGCAGCAGGATGGAAGGAGGAAGGGTTGTACTAGGTAAGAGAAAACTCGATTACCATGGATGTTTTAAAACACACTCCTCTGAATCAGTCTTGTTATTAGCGAGGAGCTTAAAAGAATAATGGCATTAGGCTGCCCTGCATTCATATGATTTTGTTTCCTCATGTTGTGTTAACAATTTCAATTCCACTTTTTTTTGTCTCTGTTTTGGGAATTATGAATGTTGTCCAGAAGATGGGTAATGAGAAAGGACCCATGGAGACTGGAGCATGAGGTAAAGCTCAGAGGAGAGGAGGAGTGTTTTGTGTACCTGCTATCACTATCTGGCAGTCTTGCTTGGTTTTGGTGTAATAGATCATGTGTTATTATTTATGTCCAGTGAGAAGGCATGTATGGGTGATGCAAAATATTTATGTTATGGACAATAGTCATTCAGCTGCATGTGGGAGAAAGATGCTTGCCTTCCCATGGCAAAGTGGCTCAGTGTTCAAAAGTTTTGGTAATGAGGTTTTTATAAATGCACAGCACTTATTGCCAGAGGCTGCAAAACAATGACCTGGCTCTGTTGCTGTTGACTTTTGTCTTGGAAGCATCCTCATGCTGCTAGGACTGTGGATATATTTTGTTTATTGAGTATGCTAAACACAGTGTGTATGAACACAAGAAAGGACCATCAGCCTTCAAGATGGTCTGGCTCTCCAGTTGACCAGTTTGTATTAATTTTTTTGGTGTTTTGTTTGTTTTTTGTTTTGTTTTTTTTTTTTTTTACCAGGTCACTTGTATATGACCCATAGAAGTGGCAACAGTAACTTCTGCTCAGTATATTTCATTTTTTTTAATTAACTATTATTTCTATTATTTTCTTCCTAAAACAGATTTCATCTGACAAAAATGTGAAAGCAGTTAAATGGTGGCATCCTCAGTCTTTACATATGGTATAGATTTAACCTAGGGATCAACAGAGCAAGCTGTTCCATGATGTTTTATCTCAAGTTTGACTTAAAGAGAACCACACTCAGCATTAAGAGATTAATTTTTAATCTACTGTAATTAATACTATTTTGTCCATTATGGTCCACATCTGCCTGAACCATTTTGCTTATTTCAGTGGGAATATGGTGAATCTTGGGAAATGGGCCCATTATTTCTGATAATGTTGCAAAAAAGTGCTTGGACAGTAGTCTACTGCAGTGGCACATTAAGAAGTACAGATTTGTTTTCTTGGCTGTGGGAAATGATTTCCAGTGGATTTCTGGTGATACAATGCGTGGTATAGTCCTGAGCATTTGCCTTCAAAATAGAAGGGTTGTTCAAGTCACGTGCCAGATGAAGCCACGGAAAGGGTTTATGCTTGCATTGTACCTATGAGATCTGGTATTATACTCCAGAGAAATGGTAACAGTTAAATCTTCCTTTTCTAAGGGATTAGGTGTATCAGCTTTTAGAGAATAGTATGAGTCTTTTCAACACCCATCCGGACACTTGCTACCTGCTGTGCTTAGTTTCAGAACCAGCATTATCGTTTTCCTCTCTAAAACTGTTTATTGTCTCATCCATCTGTGCATCAGATTACTTCATTCCAAAACCCACAAAACTCTTCTAGGAAGAATATGCCCCTGTGTGTGGCTCCCCAAGGTTTCCTTTCTTAGCCCCTTGTTGTGAAGAGCTTATACAAGCATGATAGGAGACATGGGCTGTATAAAATCCTTTCAGAGTTGTTTATTAAGATGACTTGGCCTTAGATTATCTTTCTCAGTGAAGAAAGGTGCTGAGCTGCAGAGGAATCGTCAGTAGAAACCTTTGCAGACAAGAGCACAAACTGTGACTTTTAATAGTGGATTAGTCTGGGGTTGTTTAGCACAGGTGTTTCTCATTTGTTTCCTTCTAGTACACTGAGGAAGTACGTAGCTTGATGCATTGGGGTGAGTGTCTGATAGCAGCACATTCTTGGGTCTAATTATGTGACAGATGTGGGGAGAAGGGGGAAGGAAGGTTTGTGTGCAGAATGTGAAGGCAGTAGAGCAGCAATCCTCCATGTGTAGCACATGGGTTTTGGGAATAAAGCAGAGCATGCCCAAACAGTCCCTCTCACCTCCTTTCTGGATGTGAAATCCCAATTAGTGCTTAAGTAGGGCCCTTCAGGCTGTTCTGACCTCCTTTTGCATTTCCAGGATCTTTTTTCTTTAACAGCTGTATCATAAGTAACAGCCCTGACAAAGGCTATATCCTTTTCTCTATAGAAGGGTATTAGTAGAACAGCTAGAAAGTAAGCTTTTGAATAGTGTTATATGGGATTGTAAACCAGCCACTGGTGGCTACAGGTACACATACACTCCAGAGCAGTTGGTTTTGAGCCCATTTCATAGTGGATTTGAGCAAACTTGGGTTCAGCCCGTAAGTAAATCTTTGTGAAAAGTGTCTTGTGTATGAATATCTAGATGGAAAGAATCTTTAGTAAGAGCATGTATGAAAAATACTTTCAAGGTGAATCATTAGGTAATTTCTAATGCTGCTGTAGATGACAAGTGTGAGAGAAGCTGAGAGGCGTATTTTGTGGGAGCATATTCAGGCTGAGTTGATCATTTGTGTCATT